GAAAATTAGTGTGTTCTAAAACTTTTGACTGGTAGTGAAAGCCCAATCAGAATATGAGCTGATATTTGGAGACCAGATACCAGAATCGGATCGGTGCATCTCTAGTCAGCACCTCAGCAGATTTTTTTTTTCCACTTGTACCAAAATGACAACGTGACACTGCTGAATCCTACGTGTATCACAGAAAATAAGCAAATACGTCAAGTAAGTACGAAAACATGAGCTGATCGGAGCAATGACGAGAGTGAAGATTACTCTTAACTTAATTAAATCACTCTAAATACAACTTTGAGAGGGTAAATGAGACGGAAACAACTATAATGTGGCTCTGAAAAGTCCGTTTTGCGTAATAAGTCCGATTTAAATATAACGGTTGAGTCAGGCTCTTTTGTAGACAGCTCATGTGGAAATTCCCAAAATGTGGGCGTGTCTGTGGTCTGCTGTTTACAAACAAAAAAACCCATCAACTTTGAACTCAAAATTACCCCGCTTTTATTCCAACCAATTTAATTCCACAAAATAATGAAACACTTGAGTGGCCGGGAGAGAGGATGCAGAGTAAACAGAAATAGAAGTTGATTTAGCGATATTTAAGTGACTTTGAAAAGCTGTGAGGCATTTGAAGGACACATTTTATTGGTTTAATGGTACGTGCAATCATGACACCTCGTAAAAGGTTTCCCCAGGGCAGTGAATGCATCATGCTGAGGGGTTTGAAGTCTACCGTTTACTACACTTTTCCCGCTCGTGAAAGCAGCAGTGGCCAAAAACTTGTCAGCCATATCAGCGTCATTCTGCGATTACTTTTTAAAATTAGTTTCCAATTTTTGTCAATTCTTTCTGGTTTAAAATGGCTCTAACTGTAAATGGACATGCCTGCTAAACCAGTTCTGGGAGATTTCTATTGAAAAACTGTCACCACCCTTTCTGTAACTGCCGCACTGCATTTTGGTCTTAAAATGTTTGTATTAACCCTCTCAACGTGATCCTAGTGTTTTTATTTTGTCCTTAAATCAACATATGAACATTAATAACAGACAATTCCGGTGTCTTCTTTCCCTGAGGTTGCTTCAAATCGTGTTGACTCTTTAGTTTCTATGATACTCGTGATCAGAATCCAGATTCACTCCTATAAACGGCGAGCCTCGACAAGCTTCATTTGACTGGAGCTGAGCACTATGGGTGATGCCACGTCCCTTAGTCCACTTTTTTATATGGTCTATGGCACCAACACACAAAGACGTGCCTCCGAAACCTCCCCTCATAAAAGTAAAGTGTGTAACATGTTGTCAGTGACATCCACCGTCTGGTCTGTCAGGATTTTGGAATTTTAGCGAGACTTGGTAAAATCCTCAGAGACATTACATTACAGCAGAACCTCTCATATGCAGCTAAACAGAACCGTTTTGAGCTTGGATTTAAACAGAGTCAAAATAGAGGCCTGTTTCACGTTCAGGAAAACTGTTCCAGGTTTTAGCTGAAACTAAACTAAAACTGAAGTGCTGATTTTCCATGTCCTGACTGTGGGCACCAGCAGGAGGTCGGTCCCTGAGGTCCTCAAAGTGTGAGATGGTTCATATGGCACTAACATGTCACAGATGTATTTTACATGAGAGAGAGATGTCCTGTAGCCTGATGGACGTTGCTCAGGTGTTCAATGACTTAGACTTAAACTTAGACTTAGAAAGACTTTACTGAAATTAGGGGACATTTATAGAAATTAGGGAAATAACTTGGAAAGAGTAGCTCACACATATTACAATAACACAGAGTAAAAAAATTAGATTGGTATCAGTAAGACATAGATTATATAAATGTATGTACAGTAAGTAAACAACAAATATCATAATATAAATACAGTTATATACAAGAGGTCATAAGGAAACAGTGCCATTAATGATATGATATGTGATGACATGTGACATATATTTTAAAACTCCAAAATATTTAAAACATACATTCTTCCATTCTCTCGCCTCTCCACGGGTCTGACCTGTAGCATAGCCTGCTGGCGTTTTCCATGGAGATGAGCAAGTTGCTGATCCTCCACCAGAAAAGTTACAAAGTGCACGTTTAATGCAATTTCTCCTACTTATATCTTGTGTTTAAAGGTCCAATATGAACTCTAAGCCATGTTATAATGTTGATACCTCATCAAAACATACTCAACATTGTGTTTTATTTCATTCACTTATGTTTGAACCCTTAATTATTAGTCTTTCTACATGTCCAATGCTCAAAATGCTCTGTTCTTCAAATTAACAGCTACTTTTCTTTAGAGATTGACAATTCCGGTTCTGAAATTATATAAATCATTCCAGTGAAGTGGAGCATTTCTTGTCTTGCCACTATAGACTATGAATAAGTGGACTAAGCGAATTTGACGTCACCCACAGCGTTCGACTCCACAAGTCAAGGTATGAATTGATGAGGAAACAACATTTACATGTACTTCTAGTTCTGCAGTACTTCGAAACTCCACAGCCTTTTTTTTTTTACTCAATTATTCTCTCTCCCCTTGTTCGTCAGTCTGTGTTAGTTTGAATGGAATTTGACTCAGCGCTTAATGGCCCTACATTTGAAAACCTGGTTGTTTCATTACAGGGTGGAACTCTGTATAAAACTGTGCACAGTGAAAAGAACAGAGGAAGGAGCAGGATTCCCACCGCTTCATGTGAATGGGCCTGTTTACAAGCGTCATGCACAAAACACCATAAAGAGAGATTAAATGCTGTTTAAAGAGTGCTTTTATGAGGCGGGATTAAACTGTTCAGACTTTAATGCCACACTGTAATATTGACAAGTGCGATTGTGAGAAATGGCATGATCTGGAGAAGACATTTTGAATTTAATTGTTGAATATAATGGTTCAGTTCGAGGTTTAATTCGATGTTTTTCCATTATATACTATGACTTAAGGCGTTGAATGTTGTTTTGGGTTTAGTTATTAAATGTTGTGGTACTAAAAGAAATAGATTTGATACTTAATACTGATTCTGATAACACAATAATAATTAAACTCTCTTTCTTTAGACAGTAGACTGTGATTTTCAACATTAAATGGTAGTACTTTGTTTGATATTACAGATTTTGTGCATTGTTTAATGTTTTGTCCTTCAAATTACATTAGCTTGTAGTAATTTCTTGTAGTAATTGTTGTTTTTAGTATAGTTTTAGTAGTTGTAGTAGTTTTCCCCAATACCTTTTTACACTTACTTGAGTCTTACTTTGTGCTTCTAAATGAGTAATATTATTTTGAAGTAACTTTACTCTTACTTGAGTACATTTTTAACACTCAGTCAATCAATCAATCAATCAAACTTTATTTATAGAGCGCTTTTCATACAAAAAATGCAACACAAAGTGCAGCACTCAGCCTGCCTCTGGTGATGAGTGTATTTCAGAGAAGTGGATGAATAACGCATAAATTATGAAGACACTTTTACACCACGTGAGTTGTGTGGTCCTCTGTGTCTTTTATTTATTTATTTATTTAATTATTTAATTATTTGTATTCATTGTTTTATCATTTTTAGCTTTATGCATTTTAACATTTTTATTTATTGTTTTTAATTATGATTTACTGTCTTTTATTGTGTGAATGGGTGAGTGGTTCCTTGTTGTAAAGCGCTTTGAGTGCCTTGAAGGTGGAAAAGCACTATAGAAAAATGTGACCATTTACCAATTTGTCTGTGCAGTACTTTGAAAACTGTTTATAAAATATGCTATATAAATAAAGTGGGTTGGATTGGACTGAAAGAGACTTTGAATTTTAAAAGCCACTGTTGGAATCATTATGAGAATTAAATAGACAGTTTTTAATATATATATTTTTAATAGGAGCAATAAAACATGTTCTGGCTCCTTATTAGCAATCCAGATATTGTTTTACGTTTTAAATTTATCTTTTATGCTCGTTGTATTTGATGATATCCTACATATTTGTGTTTTATTTTGGTAACCGGAAGTAGGGCTGTTTCTCACTTCCTGTTTGTGTCCTGAGCTGCGCAGTCTGTATGAACACTTAAATCCATGTGTTAATAATACATGTTTGTACATTTTCACATTTTTCTTGTGTGAGGATTCAGCAAGGACTGTCACTAAATTTGCTTTTGCTGTTTGTTGCATGTTAGCACGTTAGCGTCGTATGCTAATGCTAATGTAATGTACCAAACTTTAGCGTAGCGTTAGCCTGCAAGCTTATAAATCATCCTTTGGGAACATGTTAAAAAAAATTATTTGAATTCATATTAGATTAAGTTACGTAAAAAAAAAAACGTTGTTAGAGTATATTAAGACAGATTAACCAAAAAAAAAACAAACAAAAAAAAAACAAACAAAAAAAACAACACTCATCCGTCTAGTGAATAAATGCTTGGAAGGAACGACCGGTGTGGTTATTGGTTGGTTTTCTGCCGGCCTGAAGGCGCACGGGAACCTAGAGGGCAGAACACAACACCATAAAGACAGATTAATGCTGAGAGAGCGGTTTTATGAAGCAGGATTAAACTGTTAAGACTTTAATGCTACAATAATATCGACAAGTGTGATTGAGAGAAACGTCATCTGCAATAGACATTTTGAATTTAATGGTCTAAAAATAATGGTTTGAGCTTTAATTCCCTGTTTTTCATTCTATACTGTTGCTTAAGGCGTTTCATGTTGGTTACAATCTGAAATGCCTTCAGCAAAAAGTTATGGTACTAAAATTTCTCAATTTCGATACTGATTCTACACTACAAACATAATAAAAATGCTCTTTCTTTAGACAATAAAATGTCTTTTTCAACATTAAATCGTTGTACTTTTATATTTCCATGTGGTTTTATATTTGTGTAATCCCTCAGTGGTCCAGGTAGGTTCCTTAGTGGACATATACTAGTCTGTGTGCTCTTATACTTGTTCTGATACAGCTCAAGATCATTCTAAAACTATTCAGGAAAGGTTCAGCAGCGCTCCTTTATCCCTAACACTCCTCCTCTTCTTCTGTGTGTGTACAGTGTGATCGGGGCGGACGCGGGGAACGGCATGCGAGTCTTTATCCCCGACATCGGCATGTTTGTGGCGGGTTTGGGGATCTGGCTCCTGTGTCGCAGCCTGGTCCAGAAGAGACCTGCAGAGGACATGGGCCAGTACAACGCCGAGTTTGAGCCCGAGGACCAGGTGAGGAGCACTGCCTTTGATTTGTGATTTGGTTTAAAGGTCCTGTATTACGCAAAATTGACTCTTATGAGCTTTAAGCCATGTTAGAATGTTGTTAGCTCATCAAAAACAAACCTGGAGTTGTGTTTTGCTTCATTCACACGTGTTTGAGTAATCTTTTTATTAGTCTGTCTGCATATCTTAAGCTCAAAATGCTCTCAAGTGGTAGTTTTCAAGTTAACAGCTACCTTTTACCTTTAGTTCAGTAGAGATGGGCAGTTCCAGGGCTGAAATGATCTAAATCTGCCAGACTTCTCACCAGTTTGAAAAAGAAAGACCATATTACACCAATCTGGTTACCTGTTCAATACAGAATTGATTTAAAAATGTTATTATTAATCACTCAACTCACTCTCGCCACAGTACATCACTGATCTTTTAACCTCACACACACTGCCCCTCTGTCTCTCAGGTCAAACTCTCACACTTAACATAGTGTCCATTCCAACATCCCGCCTCAAAACCAAGGAAGGCAGAGCTTTCTCTATTGCGATCCCAAGCTTCACCTGAGATCATGCTCCTCCTTACCTCATTTTAAAACCCTCCTAAAAACCCATTTTTTCAAGATGGCGTTCAACAGCCCATGAGCTTTACTCTGAAGATGTCAACTTTAGACTTTTATCTTTTGTGTATCAAGCCACTCTTGCCACAACTTGTTATGGTTGTTTTAAATGTGCTATGTAAATAAAATGACTTGACCTGACTTGACTAAATGATTCTAGTGAAGGTGTATGGAGTTTAAAAACACTGGTTCACTTCCTGTATTACCACATCACATCACAAGGTGGAACAGAGTGTTAAACATGCATTAAACATGTGTGAATGAAACAAAACACAACTCTAGGTCTGTTTGTGATGAAGAAACAATATTATAACAAATTTTAAACACTATACACCTTCAGTAGAATCATTTGGATCATTTCAGCTCTGGAATTGCCTTCTGAACTAAAAGTAAAACGTAGCTGTTCACTTGAAAACTACCACTTCATGACATCACAAGGTAGAAGACAGCATTATGGGCTTTGGAGATGCAGAAACTAATAAAACAGGGTTACTCAAACATGTATGAATGAAACAAAACACATCTCCAGGTCTGTTTTTGATGAGGAAACATTATAACATGACTTAAAGCTCACAAGAGTAAATTCTTGTGTAATATAAGACCTTTTAAAGAAATACTGATCCCTGTCTCAGATGAGTTTTGTAGTGAGGTTTGTGCAGATGACTGGGACTGGCTCGTCTCCTCGTTCTCTTTACGACGCTGTGTTAATTAAATCGGCTTCAGCTCCACTCTGCACATCGCGTTGGCACAGATGGCCGCTCTCCCGCGCTGAGAAAAAGCTCAAATCCATCCATAGGCGGATTCTAAGCGCTCCTCTGCCCGATATAAAAGTTTTACTGCATTCAAATGAGATATTAAACTAACAGAGAGTGGCTTTCTCATACCGACCGCTGTAAAACAATTGAGAGCTGTTATGTTTTCACTCGGAGGGAGACCCAGCTGCCAAAAGAGCTCTATTGAAATCTGAACTCAGGCCAGATCCTGTTGGCGATCTCACTGCACGTTTCACACATGCTCAGATTTCTGCTGGGTGAGCTGTCACGCTACTAACATTTCAATTATTCTGCTATTTCAATAATCGATACTTGATTTGAAAGACTTGATACTTCAAACCTATTTTAGTTTGAAGCATGGAAACAGGTGGCCAAATACGTTTGTAGATATGCAAGATCGCTTAGTGTAAGGACTCATAATCCGTGTATTGTTCGTTCATTCGTTTTCCAAAAATAAGAAAATGAAAAAACAACAATTTTCTTTCAAACACGTTTTTCTTTAACATTATTAGGCTAAATATGTGTTGTTATTATAATCATTATTATATTAAGATTATTATTATTATTATTTGCTGCAATAGTTGTTGAGGCTGTGTGGTAGACGATAGGCACACAAGACAATAATAAAAGGTTGATGTTTATTAAAAAACAATAAGTCCTGCCACTGGTTGTAAACATTAAACAACAGCCTCTCGTCAAAAAACACCTCTGAACTAGAAATAGCCACGCATCGGACAGCACCAGGGCTGCAGTGAACGTGGTACGCGAGTCGCCGTCCAGTCCTGTCCTATAGAGACCTGAGACTTGAGGGACCGGGACTAAACCGGGACTAAACCAGGACTAAACCAGGACTAAACCAGGACTAAACCAGGACAGTGGCGGCTGATGGTATAATTTTTGGGAGGGGCACCAAGGGCAAAATTATAAATATATATTATGAATAATATATGTATTATATATATAGGCTGTAGTATTATAACAAATACCAGAAACAGACATTTTGGTTAGTATTGGCTGAACAGTATCGATCAGAGCACAATGAACAGCCAAGAGCAAACTTTATGCAACAACACAACGTAACACAACGTAACACACCGCTCACACCCAGACCCAACAACGTCAGTAAAACTACAATAAGAGACATGAACACAGATGCCGCTTCTACAGCACACGACAGAACAACCAGAGCAGCTCCATCTCACCCACCAGCTCATTTACGCACTATTAACTATTAACACTATAACACTATTAAACTATTAACACTATAACACTCTTTACCTGTGAGGCTCCAAGTTCAGATTTGCCGCAAACTAATGAAAACCAGCCTCTTACCTTCTCCAGAGACTGAAGCAGAATGTTTCCTCTATCCGCTGTCCCACTGGTTCTGTTTCCAAAAGTCCAATATGAAGGGATGAAACTGGTCCAAAATCCTGGTCCAGTCTGGTCCGTGACGCGAGGTCCGGGAGCCGAGTGCACAAGATGGTTGTAAAATTAGTCTTAATCCCACTTCCCACTTAAATCTGAAAGTTACAGTCAGTCCATATCAGCACCAGGACACCAGGTAGAATTATGCCTCTGCGCGCTACGCTCAGGTCAAACTTTTACACCCAGAAACGAGCGGGCAAAGGCGGATAGAGCAGCGAGCGACTGCCCTGGCCCCGGCGGCGGCAGCGAGAGTCCCAGCGGCGACTGCCCCGAGTCCGGGCGGCGACAGTCCCGGGTCCCAGCGGCGACAGTCCCGGGTCCCGGCGGCGGGTCTGTCAGGTCGGGTCTTTGACTCTGTTCTCGCCATTTCCTGTGTGGAGCTTTAGGCTAAAGTTGCAGCTGCCGCTAATCGTGGAGCTGCTACGAGTTGACGCAGCAGGTTGACGTGACGTGACGTGAGTGACAGGACAGTTGTCCAATCACACTACACTAAATAAACAGACTGTGATATCATGATGTCACAGTAAAGTTTGTGCCCGAAGTGAAATGCGCCAATCAAAATCATTTTAAAATAGTAATAATAACGGCCTGTTGGGGGGTGGGGCACCAGTGGCCGCTAGGGGGGCACGGCCCTCAAATGCCCCACCTTGCCGCCGACACAGCCTGGAGGTGCGCTCACGTAGACTGTCAGGTAATCAGGATTGGGACTGAGACTGGGATTGAGACCGAGACTGAGACTGGGACCAGACCGGGACTGAGACCTGAGTCCTGGTTCAGTCCGAAAACTGAAAAAACGAATCATTATCCGTTTTTTCAGTTTGGTTTTGGAGACAAATAATGAAGACAGTTGTTTTTGTTGTTTTTTTATGTGGTCTTATACTTGTTCTGATTTAAGTAAGGCCATTCTTAAACTATTCAGAAAAGGTCCAACTTTGTCCAACTTTATTTTTTTCTTCAAATGAGAGTCCAGGTTTAGTACCAAGTACTAGTTTGGATCCATGGTTATCTGAGTATGGATCCTTTTGACAACTAGAAAAAAAACTGATTGATATTTCCCCACAACTGGTCCAAATCATTATTATTTTAACAGAGAATAAATAATAAATAATATATAAATATGATTATAGAAGTAATTTGAAATTAATTTGTAATGTAAATAAGTAAATAAAAGTAACATATTAAAATTAAAATGGCATGAAACCTTAAAGATCCAATATTATGCTATTTTCTGGTCTATGTTATAGTGTTGTTGTTTCCTTATCACAAACTTACCTGGATTTTTGTTTCATTCACTCTCAAACAGAAAACACTCTGGTCCACCTTGTGATGTCATGTGGTAATACAGGAAGTGCTCCACTGTGTATTTAAACTCCATACACTTCCACTAGAGTCATTTGGATGCTTTTAGCCGTGGAATTGCCAATCTCTGCTGAACAAAAGGTAAAAAAAAGGATTGCTGTTAACATGAAAACTACCGCTTCATGACATCACAAGGTGGAACAGAGCTTTGGTGATGCAGATAGAATAATAAAGGGTTACTCAAACATGTGTGAATGAAACAAGATACAACTCCAGGTATGTTTTTGAGGCGGTAACAACATTATAACATGACTAAAAGCTCACAAGAGTCAATTTTGTGTCTTTTTTAAACGTGTTCATCCGCCCACAGGAGGAGGAGGAGAAGCTGAGTCTGGACGATGACAACATTTTACTGGACGACTTGGAGGCCGGGTACGAGGCGGAGGAGGACGAGGATGATGAGCTGTTCGATGACGAGGAAGAGGAAGAGGAGGAGGAGGAGGAGGTGAAGGAGAGTGCCAAGATGAGAGTGCTGCGGCTCGTGGCTGAAGTGGCCTCCAAAGTGAAAGACATCATCGGAAACCTGATCACCACGGCCGGGAAAGTGGTGGTCACTATTCTGCTGGGGATGACAGGTGAGACGGCATGACAGGTGAGACAGCGGCGGGCAGGGACTGAGGAGGAGGTAGAGGAGTGTAACCAGGACTATTACCGTCATATTTAAAAGGTTCATGATGTAACTTTTCTAATGGGAGGTGAGCAAAGGGCCTGAAACAGCATTTATTGATTGGTCCAGTATTTAGTTTTTTATCTGATCCAATATCTGATACCAGCTTTTGCTTTTTGTCATATTTAGGAGTACAGTGTTACTTCTGCGACTCCAAAGTAACATTATTGCTTGGCATGGAGTTTTAAAGGTCCTATATTACACAAAATTGATTCTTGTGAGCTTTTAGCCAGATTAGAATGTGTTTACCTCATCAAAAAACAAGATGGAGTTGTGTTTTCGTTCCTTCACGCATGTTTGAGTTTTGCTTTATTATTAGTTTGTAACAGTTCCTTTTAACTTTAGTTCATTAGAGTTAGGCGATTCCAGCGCTTCAAAAGTATTTAGTTACCGTTACAATTACTTATTCCATAAAGTATCTGAGTTACCATGCTGTAAAAGTAATTAATTACACAGCAAAGTAATTATTCACCTATTTTTCATGTTATGTACTATTGCCAGAAAAATCGAGTTTGGCTTTAATGCAGTGGCTCCGTCTCCATCTTCGCTGGAGCTCACGCCAACTGCACCGGGACATTAGCACGTGATGATGTGAGGCGCTTCATTAGATTCGAGTTACTTGAGGCAGACGTGGACAGAATTTTTTCTCCAGGGCACAGTTACACTTAACATACCGTATTTTCCGGGCTATTAGACGCGCTCTTAAGTCTCTAACCCCATCAAAAAACGACCGCGCGCCCCACAATCCAGAACGCCCTATACACAAATCCACTCGGGTGTCCCAGCACGACTTCAGTAAACTACAAAGCTGCAGCGCACGCAAACACACACGGAGCAGACAGCGACTGCACAGCGAAACACACCCACAGCCAGACTCATCACTCCACGCCGACGAGGAATGGAACGGAGGAACGGAACGGAAAAAGTGAGTGCAATGTGCCACTTCTAGCCACAACTGAACAACTGAGACACTGCAAACACGCTGACAATCCAGCGGTCCCAGACAGCACCCTCCCTACACGCCACAACTGAACAAAGCCCAGAGTCACCGTGAACGCCACAAAACAAAGTCCCACTGACCCATCCAACTGTTGTGTTTCGTTTAAAGTCCAGTGCGTTTTATTTGTGAAAAAAGTTTGAAAATAGACCATTCAATGACAGTGCGTCTTATAATCCAGAGCGACTAATAGTGCAGAAAATTCTGTACACATTCTTTTCCTTTATTTCAACGAGGGAAGAACAGTGTCGGTATTTCCAGTTTGAAAACGCTGCCTTTGAATGTCCCTGGCTCACCGTTGAGTTTGTCGCATTCTCGTTGAGTTTGTCTCGTTTAGCCTCAAGTGTGCGGGAAAGAAACAATGACGCAGCGTGATCAGAGACTCCGCCCACCCAACTTCTTAGCCAATCACCTTGCTCTCTCCTGAGCTTTCCCTGCTCCTGCTGATGATGTGCGTTTATCCACTACATGAAGCCTGACACAGCGCACCCTCATTCAGCCCAACTGTAACGTGCCACTTTGCTTTCCCTGTAACGATAACAGCGTTGTAACTATGGGGAGTGTAATTAATTAGATTACTCCGAAATGTTTATACTTAAACGTGAGGAAAAAACATTATAACATAGATCAGAAAATAGTGTAGGGCCTATATTTCCATCCATTTTCTTCTGCTTATCCGGGGCCGGGGCGTGGGGGGCAGCAGTCTACGCTGGAAAGACTTCCTTCACCCTGGACACTTCCTCCAGCTCCTCCGGGGGACCCCAAAGCGCTCCCAGGCCAGCCCAGAGTCATAGTCCCTCCAGTGTGTCCTGGATCTTCCTCGGGCCTCCTCCTGGTGGGCCTGTATTACCTTGCCTGTTTTACTGTAGAATATTCCAGAAAGCAGGTGGAGGACCCGCCATTTTTTTAATGTTTCTCTTTCTTTTTAATTTTATGATGATTATTTATGTTTTGATTGTTTTTATTGTGATTTGAATGTATTTCTTATTCTGTAAAGCACTCTGAATTACGAATTGTTCTATACAAATAAACTTGCCTTGCCTTGCCATAGTGTACCTTTAAATATGCTGAATAATGATGCTGGAGTCAGGTATTGGATCAGAAGCAGAAAATAAATACAGGACCAATCAATTCATGTTTTAAAGACTATTTACTGTCTTTCTTTGAGTGATGCAAAAGGTTTAAAGAAATTAAAAATGCACTCATTAGTTGGTACCCAGTATCTTACCAAAAAACAAGAATCTGTTTGGATATTAACACTGAAGAAGCAATGTGTATTTCTAATCTGTTTTACATTTGAAGATCCTTGTGATGTCGTGTGATACAGGCAGTGCTCCATTGTGTTTTTCTCTGTACACTGCATACAACACCATACACACTTTCACTACAATCATTTGGTTGAATTTCAGCCCGGGAATTGCCCATCTCTGTTGAACAAAAGATTAAAAGGTAGCTGTTGTCTTGAAAACAACTGGTTCATAACATCACAAGTCAAGTTATTTCAAGTACTGGTATATAACTTATTTAAAACAACTGTAACAAGTTGCATCAAAATGCTTTACAACAAGAAACAACACTTGATAAAACAATAAAACAAAAATCTAATATATAAAATAGTACATGTAGAAGTAGCTGATATAATAGTAATAGTAACATAGGACGTTTAAAGATATGATTTGTGATTGTGTGCAGGATGATGCTGCCCTCTCTGACCTCCTGATCTTCTTGTTCCTGTGCACGTGGTGGTCTCTGTGCCGGACGTTTGACACGCTCCTGTTCAGCTGCATGTGTGTGCTCATGGCCATCTTCAGCGCCGGACACATCATCGTCCTCTACCTCTACCAGTTCCAGTTCTTCCAAGAGGCCATTCCAGTGGGGGACAGATATATCAAGTAAGACCTCTGCACAGATACTTTGCAAGAGTTTGGGAACACTTCAGTTTAGGGATTGGAAATCATTATCTGTTTCATTGGGTGATTTGGCAAAATGTTCATCTTTTTTTCTTTCATTTATTACACATGTTGCTTTTAAAATAAATGAAAATAAACAAGACAATTAGGCTAGGTTCAGCCTGAAGTGACACAAATCCAATTTTGTTTTGCCACCTTTTAATAATCCAGGCCACTTGGATACGTGCTCCTAAAACTGATACATATCCGATCTTTTGACATGCGACTTCAGTCTGAACGGGCAGGTCGCATTCGTCCAACCTACACGTCAGAAATGTACACAAATGTTCTTCTTGTCATACGAAAGTTGTGTCTCGTGCCAGTGAAGCAATCCCACCACTCTTGGCTGCGACTCCGCACCCACACGTTCCTTTCTACGGACGTTGCTGCCACTGCCCCACAAAACGCCACGGCCAAAAACCTTGTCCTTCTCCTTCTCAATCTCCTCCTTAAAACAAATAAGCTGTACATGTTCTGACTCTAGTACGACAGAAGCTTTAAAATCTCCAGGTGCTCAATGCTGCGTCCATGTTTAAAAACTTAGCTGCGTGTGACGTTGTTGTGTCCTCCAATGCTCATGCGGGACACTTTTGGGGCGTTTAAAATTCACACTGGAGATCACATACAAGTCGCATTTAATTGAAAATGTGAACGAGCTCACAAAAAAAATCTCATTTCACAAAAAAATCCAAATTGAGCATTAAGCCCTGCAGTCTGAACGTAGTCTTAGTCGACACACCTCACAGGGAGAAGGTTCGTGGTTCTATCTTTGGCCTTTCTGTGTTGAGTTTGCATGTTTGCCCAGTGTCTGTAGGAAGTTTGCATTTTCTCCTGGTGTCTGGGTTGGTTTCCTCCAGGAACTCACCCATCAACCCAAAACATACACCATAAATACAATCCTCCAGCTAAGGCAGTCCTGACCACGTGTCCCTTAAACTCAACCTTAACCTTAACCTTAACCTTTGTCATTTCAACTTCAAAAAAACAAAACCATATTGTCATACATTCTCCATGGTTTTAGATGAGTTTTATGCCATGTTATGGAAGATTATAGCCAGGAAGGATTCATCTAAAACAAAAAAACATGCTTATTATTATATGCTTATGCTTGTTTTAGTTCATGTTAGTTCAAAAAGTTACGTAGTGGAGCTTTAATGCAAAAACAGGCTTTAAATTTAAATCTCTTTTCAGAATTCTGCTCCAGATTACACATTTTTATTGTCATTGAGACAGTGGCTGTGAACCTCTCAATAAAAATAATAATTAGAAAATAAATCTGATCATTGATCATTTGAAACGGCTTCCTTTAAGTTTAAAATGTTGTGTAATTGTAGAATTGAAAGCATTTGGTAAACACAGTAGAGTGTAAAACAGTGTAAATACAGTAAATATTAGCAGATTAGAGTGACATTTCACGTAACTTAAGCGGCCTGATTATTCAGTTCATTTGTTTAAAGCTCCCAGTTAATTCATTGCACAAAATGAATGAACGAATCCTGTATTTACACATGTATATACACTCATGTTACTCTCGTACAAGTGAAGCAGGGCCCCTCAGACTAATAGAGAGTTAGTGCCCTGTCTCACGCTTGTTTAAGTCATTATAAACATTTACCATTAACACAAACATAAAGGGGAAGGCACTTATTTCAATAGTAGCTCATTCACCCAGACCTCAAATACACACGTGGCTTAAAGGGCCCATATTACGCTCGTTTCTGATTTCTACGTTATAATATTGTTTGTTTTTTTAGATAACTTCAAAATTCCTCACATACAGGTTCGTATTGTGGATTTAAAGGTTCCGTATTACACAAAATACATTCTTGTGAGGTTTAATCCATGTTAGAATGTTGTTAATTCCTCAAAAAGCAAATCTAGAGTTGTGTTTTGTTTCATTCACACATTTTTAAGTATGAATTTATTAATCTATCTTATCTTACGTGTCAGTGGTGTCAAAATCAAATTCACAGAGCACCAAAATTAAAAACTGGGACCAAGTCGTGGGCCAAACTAAATATTTATTGAAAAATTTCAACAACATCTGCATGTTTTCTCTTCTTTCGAGATATGTTTCTTATTAAAATAAATGTTTAATAATAGTTTTGCTTAAACACTGAATCCAAAACAAGCATAATATAAAATAATAACAACATTTTAAGTAAATCATGTCTCTTTATGTTATCTTATGTGTGAATGAAAGAAAAGTCTTGTTTTTTGTAATATAGGACCTTTAACTTTTGAATAATTAAATAATTTTTACATAGAAATACAAAAAAAAAATTAAATCTTCAGATAACTCATTTATTTCTCCTTTCTGCTGTTGTAGAATTTTGTATAATCTAAATAAAATGTTAAGTTAAGACTAGGGATGTAACAATAACCAAAACAGCTTATAAATACATAGGGAACTACATATCCCATGATTCATTTCAGTGCAGACAACATGAAGAAATATTTTTTTTACTTGAATTCTTGGGATTTTGACATAAATAATTCACACCAAAATCTTGTCAACATATTTTAAAAGCAGAATAGTGTCCCATGTCCAATTATATTTGCCTCTTCAAAATATCGCCAATAAAAATCGTGATAATATCGTACCAAGAGATTTGGATATCGTTACATTTCTAGTTAAGACTAATACAAATTTTGATCGATTAAGACTCCATTGACCGATTGATCGACTCAAGGCCTACAGCCCTACTTCAAATGGAAAAAAAGAAAGAAATTCCGATTTGAGGAGGAGCCGTGAGCATTTCCAATAGACTCGCTGTTGTATTATGCATGAGAGCAGATGAGCGGCTGTTTGTGGCTCGGGGCTGACCACACTTTCAAACCACACAAGTGTAATCTGGAACCAACCGTTTCATTAAAGGGCTCATGAAGTGACCGAGAGAGCTGAAGATTTGATATTTTTTGTATATATATGTAAAAACGCAGATTAAACTGATGATTCTTATGGTAACTTTCTCAAAATACAGGTTAAGATTGTGGATTAAAGGTGCTGTATTACACAAAATACATTCTTGTGAGCCTTAAAGGTTGTATGGAGGATTTTTTTTTGTTTCAAGTTGTCAATGATAGCATTATAGAGATGCAGTGGCCTTGTAATTATGATGACCAAAAAAAAGAGAATAAAAATTCATCAACTCTGGACGTGGTGGGGCTAAACATTTGCCAATAGATAACGACACTGCCTCGTTATCTGTTAGCTGACAGGCTGTCAATCAATCTCCCTACGTTTCTAGCGTAACTGACTTGCCTGCGCGCCGCCGGTACGTGGTTTACGTACGCCTGTCACGCAGTCCACAGACACAAGCCGCACAGACGCTGTTTACTCCACCAACGCAACAGTTTTAGCGGCTTTTTTTTACCTATATCTTCCTCGCAGTTCGCACAAAGTTTGTTGCAATGGCAGACAAGAATCCAGGAGCAGTTCGCCGCAAAAGAAAGTCCGTTTTTTGAGGTCGCTGAAAGAAGAAGACAAGGGGAAAAGCAGCGAAGCCAAACTAAGGTGATTCTTGTAGATTCATTCCAGCGATGGCGCAACTGAAGCAGACGCAGGGTCTAAAGACTGACGCACTGGTCCACAAATTACTCCTGGACAGGTCACTTCTGCTTATTATGAAAACGTACTTTATTTCCAAGAGCTAGACAAACGTTTTTCAGGACACGAAAGCGATATCCTATGTCTGAAAACGTAATTTTCAAGGCAAAGAAAGAGTCCGCTTGCTGCTGCGTGTTGTAGCTAGTTCATTCGCACTGAATCTCCACGCACCGCTCCCCTCTCCTCTCTCCTCTCTCCTCTCTCCTCTCCTCTCTCTCTGCTCCGCTCTTCTCCCTGCTCCTCACTTCTCCCTGCTCCTCACTTCTCGTCCGCGCACGAAATGTCCGCACACCCGCTCCCCCCGCTCCTCACTTCTCCGTCTTGCCTAACCAACACTGTAGTTAGTTGTTTACAAGTCATGTGCAGCGCACCGGCTGTAAACAAACCTGTTTCTGGCGTAAAGAGGAGGCGTTTCTACGTAGGGAGCTGTAGGGGAGGGGAGGTGGTTTCACGCATGCGCAACATTTGAAAAAGGACAAACAGTCGCTGGATTTCTCGTTCCTTGGAAAATCCTCTATACAACCTTTAAGTCATGTTAGAAAGTTGTTAGAAAGTCCTCAAAAACATTCAAATCCAAATCTCCAAAGCTCAAAATGCTCTGTTCCACCTTGTGATGTCACGTGGTAATACAAGAAGTGCTCCACTGTGTTTTTTAAACTCCATGCACCTTCAGTAGAATCATTTGGATAATTTCAGCCCTGGGATTGTCAAGATCTACTGAATTTAAGGTAAAAAGGAGCTGTTAACTTGAAAACTACCTCTTCATGACATCACAAGGTGGATCAGAAGCATTTTGAGCTTTGGAGATGTAGACAGACTAATAATAAAGAATTACTGTCAAACAAAACACAACTCCAGGAAGGTTTTTGAGAAGGTAACAACATTCTAAAACAGGGGTCACCAAACTTTTTTCTCTGGGGCAACATTATCGCTCCTGACTGTGATGGAGGCTCGGGTCGATTAGGCCGTATAACAGGATCGTATGACTCTGACGACGCAGATTATATTCTTTAAATTCCGCCACACTTTCTTTACATATCAGACAAACTGCACTGTCCTTACACTGAACAAAAAATAATCGGTCATCCACTGTTCTTTGAAAACTTAAACGTGTTAAAGAACTGAAACTCTGTCAACTTTTCGTACTTTAATTTTTTTCATTTTGCTGTCCTTTACTGCACTACAGAACTCTACACATGCGTTGACTGTCACTGTTTGATCTCGAGCTTATCAGATGACAAAAATTTGGTGGCAAATGTAAATACGTCATATAATAATTAAAATATAAATCTACATAGTTATTGAAAAAATAATACAAGAGGCAGATGTGTTA